CTTTGTATGGTGACAGATGGTTAGTTTCCAGACTTTCCATAGTGATCATTTTGTAATGTATATAAATGTTGATCACTATGTTGTAACCTGAGACTAGTATAATATTGTACATTAACTATAATTCAATAAAAATAAAAAAGGGAGGGAGGGCATCTAACACAAAGTCAAAACTCCTAGCTATGCATCAACTACTTGAAAAAAATTTTCTGTAGTTATTGCGCACGCATGCGTGTGTGTGTGTAAAATTAGAACAGTACCTTCTCTGTGACTCAGCGAGAAATAAGAGCATGAATGAAATCTGTGTGAAGTTCATGCAACCATGCACAAGGACAGTATTAAGAAGCTTCCAAGATTCACACAGACACTGCTATGTGCCAAGCATTACACCAAATTCTGGAGAAGACAGAAATAAGAAGGAGATGAGGTCTACGGAAACGGAAAGCAGACGGCAGATCTAGAGAGTCTGCAGGCCGTTACTTCCTTATCCTTCTCAACTTCCTCCTGCTTCTCCATCAGCCTCCACCTCTTTGTCAGTCTCTGGGCTGGTTCCTCTTCCTTCATCCACCCTCTATGTCAGTAGTTCTCAAAGTGTGGTCCTGGGAATAGCAGCATCAGCATCATCTGAGAAATTCTTCAAAATGCACATTCTCAAGCACCCTTCAGACCTAGTGAGTCAGAAACGACGGGAGTAGAGTCCAGAGATCTGTGTTTTACCAAGACCTCCAGGTATTTCTGATGCATGCTTAAGTTTGAGATCCAATATAACTTTGATCTAAGTGTTGATTTCCAAAAGTTCCATTCCTTGTCCTTTCCAGTTTTCACTCTCCACTACTCTGGGTAGTTCTATCTTCTTCTACTATCTCTATAACTGTAACTATTACTACTACTAAGGGCAACAGCTGTCATTTATTAAGCATTTATAAGCTAGGCATTATGCTAATCATTCTGCACATACTATCTCAATCTCCACAACAATTCTTTACAGTATTATTAATCCCACTCTTCAGAAGAAATTTAGGCTTAGATATGTTAAATAACTTGCCCAAGGTCACCCAACCCAATCAATAATTGGCATAACAGAGATTTGACTTTGAATTTTCCTGACGCAAAGTCCACAGTGTTAACTACTATACTAACTCCTAGAATGGTACTACTTCCATAGCCTTGGAGGCTGTCACTTAAGTCACAATTATTTCTAAACTGTCTCATAAACTCTGGAGCAGAATTTCCAATTACCTAGTGGATCTCTCTAAACACACAGGGATCTTAAAATTAACATGCCATCATTTCTCCTCTCCACTGCAAATCTGTTCCTCTTTCTGTGTTTTCTAATTTAATGCCATCATAATCTCCAGTTATTCAAACTAGACATGCCATCTTTGACTTCTCACTCTCTTTCACCTCTAGCTGGTCATAACATTTACAGATTTTAACATCTAAAATAGCTCTACAATCCACCCATTCCCGCTGTCCCTCTTCAGGCTCCCAGCATCTCTCACCTACATCCTAACTGGTCTCCCTCCCTCTTCACTCTAATGCAATTCTGCTTATGAACTGCCAGTTAACTTTCTGATCTGATTATTCTACCTTCCAAGGCTCTCCATCACCAACGCAGGGCTAGGGGTACAATAGGGAGGTCTAGGCTTTTTAGAACGGAATGGAAGATCCCCTCACAATTTGGCTCCGACCATACCTTTCCTCTCTCATCACTTCTGCCATACAACAAGCCTACAAGAAACGACTCAGTTTTCCAAAAGTCCCATTCAATTTTAATCTTTGCCAACTTTGCTTATGCTCTCCCACTGCCTGGAATGCTTGTTTTCCCTTTTACATGTGGCAAAATTCAACTTAACCTTCAGAGCTAAGTTCCATCCACTTTTCTTTAAAGCTTTCCCTGACTCTATTAATTTTTTCCCCAAAGTGAACTACACCCTTAGCATTTTATTCATTCCAAAAGTAATTAACTCTTATCGTAACATATTATGGTTAAAGGTTTGTCTCCTCTGATGAATACTGAGTATCTCAGAGGGTAACCTTGTCTTATTCTTTGTCTTTCCAGCACCCAACACAGTGCCTAACCACAGCCAGCACCTAATAAATATTTGCTGAGTTGTTAAATAATGCAACATTTGGTGTTGCAACTTTACACATCTTAGGTCAGTAATTCAACTTCAGGTTTACGCACCACTCAAAAGAATTCTCACAGAACAGCAAAAGATATTATAAAGACCAAAGGTTCAATATTCGGCAGCAGCATCTTTAATTTTCTCAAATCTTTTTTGACAATATTTTCAGTATTCTTCTTCAAATAGACTCCTTTCCCAGCTAACATTATTTGTATTTTTTACAGGATCAGCAGCAACTACAAACCTCAGAGGCCACTATAAGAGATAATCCCAAACAAAACTGTGTCACTGACAGTGGCTGGATAAATGCTTTGGGTTCACCATTTCAGTAAATTTCCAATGAAACAGCCCAAGCACATCAGGTAGATTTTAGAAATGGGGACGTGTGCTGCAGACTAAATTCATAAGAGGTACGCACAATAGTGAGGCATTTACTCAAATTAGTAATTGAAATCAGAATAACACAACAACCTGGTCCTGGTTCAAATATAATATCCTTTAATTTTAAGTAAGGATAACACTTAGTCTTGTCAAAGACTACTCTGAGTCACACAACTCCCATCCTACCCAGACAGCAGGCTCTATCTTGTTATCAGTGGGATGCTGATAAGCCAGCCTTGGTCTTAACACCTTCCCTTCCCAACCTGCTAAACCTTCTCTCTCCAATGTTCCCCATCAGAGAACTTCTCACCAGACATGTAAGTCTCCTCAATATATCCCCCGATGACCAAATTCACACTCTTGTCTCAACGTATTATTTATCTCTTCTCTAATTCAAATTTTACACTTCTTTCAAAGATCAGATCAAATCTCACCTCTTCCAAAGAGTTCACTAACTCAGCCCACCACAAGTCTGCTCTTTTCTAAGTTTCTACTGTACTTAAAGTATAGCACCTCATACAGCACTTGTTCACATACTCTCTCATTTGGGTTCATAATTATTTTATATACAGGTGCTTAATCTTCCTAGCTGGACTGTTTGCTCTTAAAGAAAAAAAGCCAAGTCTTCTACATCATTTGCAATCCTTCAATCCTCCTCCCACATGGAGCATAATACTGGGCAGAGAAGGCACATGTATTAACTTGAAGGACTCAACTAAACGCTTGCTGTACATCGATACACCACTTCTACGCCGTGTCATAAATGTATAACAAATATCTATTGCGTGCCTCCCCTGTGGCAAGCACTTCTGCAGGTGCTGGACACACGGCCTTGATGAAGAGACATGATTCCTGTCCTAAAAGCTATTATAGTCCAGAGAGCAAGAGACACTGAATTCTGAGTACTCTGTTAAAGAGCAAGGTTATTACTGGATCCAAGATGTAAGAATCTCGGGCAACGTACTTTACAGATCCTCAGCGATGAAAGTGAATCACAGAATTTTAGAAAAGTTATGTTATCCTCTCCCAATTTTCTTGCACAAAACATGATTAAATTTCAGTATCATCTCTCTTTCTATAGGTTCATTAGGCACCGCCTTAATCAACAATCAGAAAAGAGTGATTTCTTCCCAACCCCCCCAATACTGATTTCTCGTGAGGATGGTTAACTACAACTACCACAGTATCTACCCACGCGGCAGCCCAGCGCACAGAGAAGAGAGCACTGGGCTGATGATTCGCTGCACCTTTACAGTCAGGCTTGTCCAACCATCAGTATTTTCCGGTCCACATATTGAACAGAATCTGTATTTTCTGCCTAGTAAGTAACAAGCCTGTACTTTCAAGGAAAATAAAACACAGTGTCTCCATACTTTCTTGGCCCTAATAATGATAATGACAGAACAACATGGTTCTGGGAAATAAAACAGCTGATTTGAGACTATGAGGAAGAACTGAGAATGGATATCCGCCACTTGGCCTCAAAATCTGTAGCAACAATGTGATAAAATGCCTAGGGCAAACAAAGTTTTATGCGTGCTATATTAAGCACGTGCACATACACGTGAAGACGGAAACTAGGCAACAGGTTGGCCGCCCCCATCTGCACTGACAGATCGCCTCCCCGGGTCGTGGGTGTGTCTGACGCTGCACGCAGGCACTGATTCATAACTCTCTCCATAACAACCGGCTCCTCCTCGGAGCCCGGCCAGGGCAGGGGCGATGCAGGCCCCAGCAGCGCCAAACTTTCCGAACCCCAGAGCCCGGCCGCCCCGGTTCCGCCTCCTCTCGGTCTCAGGCAGGATGCGAGGCGGCTCTGGGAACCCGGGCTTCTCCTGATTCCAACTCCTCGTTTGGGAGCCTGGCAGAGCCACCTCGAAGCCCCCAGACACCTACTTCCCACTGCACCTTCCACGACTACAGACGCTTCGCCCGCCCCTCGCTGCCGCTTCCAGAGCGCCCGCGCCCAGGAAATGACCCTCGTCAGCCCCCGTCCGCCCTCCTCCCCCGCCCCCGGAAAAAGCGGCAGAGGGGCGTGGAGCGGCGCGCGCGGGTCCGGTAGGGGCGCGCATCCCCGCGCCCGGGGCCCGCGCAGCAGGTGCGGCCGGGCCCCACTACCCCTGCGAGGCCCCGGCTACTCACCCCAACGATGTTCCGCTGCGGCTCAGCAGTCGGCACAGACGCCTCTTCCGCCTGCTCCGCACCCCCCTCGCAGCCACCGCCCCCTCGGCCGCTGCCGTCGCCGCCGTCCTCGCCGCCGCCGCCGCGGCGCGCGTCCGCTCTCACGCACACCGCCGTGGCCGCGCACGCGCCTCTGCGCGCTGGCGTCACTTAGCAACCGATCGGCGGCGGGCCCGCGGGATCCGAAGGTTCAGGGCCCAGAGGTCGCCTCGGGCCGGTTTGCGGCTTTACCCCACCGGCCCGACCCTCTGCCCTCCTGGGGTGGGGACCCCAGGGTGTGGCTGCCCTGCTGGCACCTGGCTCCGGGTAAGCACGTCACCACACGTCACTGTATGGCGTCACTGATCGCGTCACTGCGGAAGGGAAGGTCCCCGCCGTGGTCGCCGCCTGGAGGTGCCAGGGCGCCCGTGGTGGAGAGAGCTGCGGCCTTGTCCAGACTGGCGCGGACCCCGTCGGCTACGACTGCGAAGCGCCGGAAGGTTCTCTGAGGAGTGGACCCAGAGGGGCTGAGTGCGCGGTTGATGTGGAAGACTGCTGAGTGACGCTGGTTAACCCAGCAGGGTGTGATGGAGCGAACCTTGAACTCCCCTGACTTTCGGTTTCCTCATCTTATAAATGGGGATAACAGTACCCATCCTGTCTACATTGGAGCGTTGTGAGGCTAAAAGGAAATAATCTATGCAAAGATGCTTTGTAAAGTGTAAAGCCCGTTAGACTTTAAAATATCTTATGAGAGAAGGCAGTGCTCGAGCAAGAGCAGTTAAGAGCATGGATTTTGGAGTCAGAGCAACTCGGGTTCAAGTTTGATCCTGGCTGATGTTGGGTGGTCGATTCTGCTTGACGCTTGGGCAAGCTGGGGGACCAGGGTGTGGGGGTTTGAAGAGAGTAACTGGTGAGTTAATTCCAGGCAGAGGAAGCTTCACGAGTAAAAGTGAAAATGGACAGGAAGAGCAAGCCTTGAGGCAGGGAGACTAGTTTGAGGCCACGGCTGTATTCTAGATAGGAAGTGATAAGAGCCTTACCCTCTAAGTGTAGAGGAAGGGATAGATGTGAGTGCTGTTCAGGTAGGAGAACTGACCGCGCTGCACGGGGGATAAATGAGTAGGCCACGTTTCTAGTATGTGTGCTGGGGTAGGTGGTGGAAACATTTAGCAAGATGTGAAGAAAGATGAGTCTGGATTATCCACAACGTTCTGATCTAAGTTACTAGACAGTGATGGTGACCGTCTTAGGAGGCTGATCAGATTTGTGCCATATGATGATGAGTTCAAATATGGATATGTTTGTTGGGGAAACACTTATTCTGCACTCATGATGACTCCTTGCAAATGGAGTGACATCCGTTAATGCAATATTCTGGGCCTCTCACTGCATCTGCCCCCGGCCCGCTCCTCCCTGGAGTGGTGACCTCCTGATTGGTGAATTTAAAAGGAGAAACCGGTCATGCGTAGCCCCTCTCCTTCTTTTTCGCTTGAAAGAAAGCTGCCTTCAGGGACCTGTTCTGGTGTTCTTCTCTGCTTCTCCAGGAGGAGGGCCTGGGGGTGGGGTTGAGAGTGCCTGGTCCAGGGCTACAAAGTCAGTAAATCTATTTAATTCCAGAGTTTAACATTGGGAAGCTCTCTGTCCACAGGTAATATCCAGTACAAACTTTGTTGGTTGTGCTTTACAGAATAATGTCCACCCAAAGATGTTCGTCTCCTAATCTCCAGAACCTGTGAAGATGTTACCTTACATGCCGGAAGGAACTTTGCAGATGTGATTAAGTGAAGGATCTTGAGTTGGGGAGATTATCTTGGATTATACTGCTGGGATGGAAGCAGGAGGCTGAGTCAGAGAAGGAGATATTAGGACGGAAGCAGAGGTCAGAGAGAAAGAGAGATTGGAAGAATCTGCTCTGCTAGCTTTGAAGATGGAGCCAGGGAATGCAGACAGCCTCTAGAAGCTGAAAAAGGCAAAGAAATGGCTTCTCCTCTCGAGACCCCAGAGAAAACACAGCTCTGCCGACGCCTTGATTTTAGGATTTCTGATCTCCAGAACTGTAAGATAACTGTGTGTCGTTTTAAGCCACTGAGTTTGTGGTAGTTTGTTACAACTGTAATAGGAAAGTAATACAGTCAATAGTAAAGATGATAGTTAGTCTCCTGCTGCATCCTCCTCTGTGTGGGACAGAAGGCTGCAGTTTATTAGGCTCCCTCAAAGATTACTGCAATGTGATTGTGACTTGATGGAGGGAACTGCCACACCCAGAGGGAAACATCCAATAAGCCGTCGAAGTACAGAGGTCTATGAATGAAGACAGAAGTTGAGTTAAAATAAAATAGATTTGGAAGACATTAACTTATAATTGTTCATTTAAGTCCTAGGCATGGATGAGATCAAACAGGGAGAAAATATAGAAGAAACAATAAAGAGGACCAAGGACAGAGCCCCGGGAAGCACTAACTTTAAAAGGGAGTGGCAGATGAGCAGAAGCCCACACAGAAGTCTGAGAAAGAATGGCCAGAGAGATAAAAGAAATAGATGAGAGCAATGCGTCTGAAACCAAGGTAGGAAAGAATTACAAGACAGAAAGGGAGTCGGCAGAGTCAGAGACCACACATAGGTCAAGTGTATCAAGGGCTGAAAAGCATTGACTGGATTGAGCAACACAAAAGTGATTGGTGACCAACAGTAGCAGCTTTAGTGAGGTAGTAGAGATGGACACCGAATTACTGGGGTGTGAAAGGCAAGCCTGTGTAGTGGATTGGCCTCTGGTATGGCTGATGGGAATTTGAGATTCTAGTCTTGGTTCTGGCCATTCACTAGCTGGATAACCTTGGACAAATCACTGAACCATTTCAGACTTCGGTTTTCTCATTTACCAAATGAGAGGATCAGACTGGGTCTATATTTTTCACATAAATTCCTAGAGTAACCCCCCAACTTTATGCTAGACTCATTTGTTTCTAACAGCGCACTTCAAATCCTACTTGGATCCTTTCACCAAACACTGAAAGTCAGTATATTATGTGCCAGCTTCTGTCCAGATGCTATAGATATGATACAGTTATTCAAGAAACTTTCAGTTTGAGGAGGGGAAAAAACACATAAGTATGTAGCTAGTTACCATAGTTCTTTTTAAATGAAGCAAGTGACTATAAATTGAATGAACTGTAGCTGTAACATGATATACTACATGCTATAGTAGAATTCTGTATAAAGTGATACAGATGAGGGGGGAGTTTTGCCTAATGGAAATCGAAGTATTAGATTTACCAACTCCCACAGGTTGGCAGAATATGCCCCCAAAATGGACATAGCTATACCAAGGCATTTCCATGGTGATGGAAAAAAACCGAAAAACAGGAGTTGTGCTAAGCCAGTACTGATCATTTATCATTTCTTCTACGTAGTTTTGTTGTGATGTGAATGAATATTTGTGTACAACTACTTCTGTTGTACATAAATACACTGTTTAATTGGACAAAATGGACACATGTAAAAACTGAATACAAGAGTGGTTTGTTTACTTTTCTGCTAGATCTGAGAGGAAACATTTATTTGTGATACATGCCATGCTTTGTTACATTTGCTCATCTAATCCTCATATATTATCTCGTTTAATTTTGCAAACATCACCTTATTGGATCAACAGCTGACATTATATCTCTGCTTTAGCAGGTGGAAATACAAAGTTCACGGAATGTGGCCAAGGTCATACTCTCAGCAGTTAAGTAGTAGGCCAAGATTTAGACCCAGCACAGGCATCTTCTTTCCTGCAAACCTACCCTCAGAGCCTTAGTCGGTGTAAGTGCCCTTCTTCTGTACTTTTACATCATGTGCACACCTTTATTGTAGCTTTTACTGTAATAATGATGATGCTAACTATGTGCCACATACTGTTTTAGGTACATTATGGGCATTAACTCATTTAAGCCTCAAAACAGCCCTTTAAGGTAGGTAATATTATTAATCACGGTACTTTATAAGTCAGGAAACTAAGGCATAGAAGGTTAAGAAATTTACTCAAGGTCACAAAGTTAATAAGTGATGGACCATGATTCAAATCTGGATAGTTGGGCTCTAGAGTCCATGCTCTTAGCACCCAGGCTGCTACCTTTATACTCTGCTCTGCTAAGACTCAGGGATTCTAGACCACCTAGTTTACAGAACTCACCAATGCAGTTACTGTAGGGTGGTTGCTGGGTGTGATATGGTTTTGTATTCCTTATTAAATGAACACAAGAGAATTTTCTCTCTCCGCCAAATGTCCTGAAACACTTCACTACCCTTGAGTAACTGATATGTTTTCTCCTTATAGGCAATGTGAATTATATAACGGGCTGTTTTCTCCTTTCCCTTTGACTGCCAAGAAGCTCTGAGTAAATTTGTGGCTCAGCATTAGTAACTGGGAGGACCCTTGGCCTGCATATCTATATTGTGTCAGTTTGAAACTTCTCAAAAAGTTAGAAGGAAAAATAACTTGGATTCTTTATTTTCTAAATTGTTGATAGTGTACATTTATTTTATACTTAGAAAAAGTAAACTTTATTTTTAAAAGAATGTTTGCAGCTTTGAATCATTTCTCAGGCTTTGACTCTGTGGACAAGAAGGTTAAATTCCTTGAGATCAATATAGAATCCTAGTTCTTGTAAAATCAGGACGTCTACATGACCTTGAAAGTCCAGATCAATAGAATCGGTGTTCAGACAGATCACAAAGTATTTCAAGTAGCATAAAACAGGCAAGTTGTGGCCCTCCTTGTTTTTAACCTATATCTAAATAATTTGAAACCACTTTTGGATTATTTGGACTTATGCTACCTTACTTTAGAGATCAAGTCGATTATCTTCTTTAATGCTGATATTTTATTATAATGAGCTTTAGTGTATGTTTGATTTTGTGCTTTACCATTTGTCACAAAGAATGGGTAAAGATCACCAGTTCTAAAACTAAAATGATTATTTTGGTACATGTCCTCAAATCTAATTGCTAAGATCCGGTAACTAAATACCAGGTTCATTTCTTTACTTAAGGGTGTGTTTTGCAAGTAATTCTTACGGGTAGATTTCCAGGCCAGTCACTTTGCTAAAAGCTGTACATTTCCTGGGAGCATTATTCAGATTTTTCTATAGCCAGAGTGAGCAACTGATAATTTCTTCTTTGAAACCAATCAGATTCTTCATTTTCTGACAGGGCTTTCAGATGCCTAAAGGGTCGGTAAGTGCTCTGCACTCAGCACAGGAGATTGTTGCCAAGTGGTGGTATGAGCTTCTAGGGTTGCCACATTTGAAATCTGTTGATCTCTAAATATTGGTAACCAATGTCAACTTTGTAAAAAAAAAAAAAAACATCACTTGTCTGTGAGTTTGCAGACCCTCTGCTCCATTGGATAGAACTTTGCAGACTCGAAGACTTAATTTTTCTTATTTTTATTTTTAATTTCTTATTAATATTTCTTATATGAAGAATTGTTTCTTAAGGAAAATCCTGAATTTCCTGCAAGTGCTCCCTCTGTCCCCCACCATGTAGAGAGAAATGTTCCCATTTAGGTAAAAATCTCAATGCAATGACTCACTCTTCACAAAAGGCTGTCAACCAGCTACCATCTGCCAATGAGATGACTGACTTCTAAACAGTATGTACCTAGCTTTAATCAGCCACAGAATATTAGCTGGTCCATCAGAAAACTGCATACCTGACCATATTGTCCTGAGCTCATACACACGGAAACCTTCTTCAGCCCCTCCCAGGAGTGTTTACTGACTTACCTTTTGAATATTGTGTCTTCTGCATACATTAAGGGATTCTAGAAGAGACAGCTCCACAGAGCTGTTGCACACTTGGTCATTTTGTGTTCCCTATGGAAAATCCCAAGAAGAATTTTCTTTCAGAGCCAACTGTCATGAAATACTTGGCTACGCTTGAGTAACAGATGTGTCTTCCTTACAGACAAGTAGGTTATGTAACTGGATGTGTTTCCCTCTTCCCTTTGGCTGTCATGAAGCTCTTGAGTCAAATTTTAGCTCAGCTGTAGTGTTTGCATAGGAACCTGTGGCCTGCATATCTGCATTCCAATTTGTTCCCTGTTCCTAACCCTCTGTTTAAATTTGGGTTTTCTCTTGCTCAGATTTATTTATAACTTTCTACATTCTATGTATAATTGCACTAGTCACCTCAAGTTGCTTATGGAAAAGCTGGGGAAGGAATGATAAATATGTTTAATGACGACTAGCTTATACATAGTCCCTTGCTCTCACTTCAGGCAAGAGTTAAAACTTATACGCCCTTCCGTGCTGATAAGAAGGTCATTTATAAGGACTCCAGGGTTTTACATCAGCTAAGTAGAACCAGAACAATGAATTATTTTCGAAGAAGTTTTAGTGTTATTGCAAATCTACAGAGTGTTATTCTTTTAACTTTGCTTTCTCTTGAAGGAGATAGGTAAAGTAATGGTTGCTAAGCATAAGTAGGAAAATTCAAGTCCCACATTCTCCAGTCAAATAATTTTCTCACAACCTTTCTCAGTACATTCTTCTACTAGGCCAAAATTTGAAAAATTAGCTTTCTCATATCTAATCTAAATCACATTGTGTGCTGTAAACTCCTTTCTATCTCATGGATTAGTGATCTGATTTGTATTCACTGGTATATATAGTCACACTTAGACACTTTAACTAAAGGTACGTAGGAAGATCCTAAGCAGGAAAGCAGGATTCATTATGTCTTAATACCTCGTTTATATTTGCTAAATCAAAGGTAGAAAGCTAATTGAATACACCATGACTATTAGGCATTGTCATGAGACACTAATGTGAATATGATTTATCTTGAGAATAGGACAATAAAGCTCCTTCGTAAATGTAAACATTTAAAACATTTGCCCAGAAAACACTTTTTGTAATCTTTTTTTTGCATTTCTTCTTTTCTTAGTATACCAGGAACCTCAAAAACTGGAAATAGTGCAGGCCTATTTCCTGTGTCAGTTTTTAGTTACTGCGTTATTCTGTGTCAGGCACAGAGGGGATACGGAGATTGAAGATAGAGTTCTTGCTCTTAAGGACCAACAGTCTAGAACTGTGCTGTCCAATATGGTAGCCTCTAGCCACATGTGGCTATTTAAATTAAATTAAATTACGTAAATTAAAAATTCAGTTCCTCACTCACACTAGTTACATTTCAAGAGCTCAAGAGCCACATGTGACTAGAGGCTACTATGTTGGACAGTCCGTGTATAAAATGTTTCTGTCTTTGTAGAAGATGCTACTGGATAATGCTGATCTAGAAGTTAGGGGAATCAGACAAGGTAGGGCAAGGTAATTTCAGAGTAAGAAGGATCACGTGTGAAGTGTGGTCAGAATGATGTTGAGTCCTACTGCCCAAGATTCTGATTTGAGGGATACCATGGTGTCTACCTTTAACAAATACCCCAGGTGATTGTCATACAGAAGGTGCACAACTGCATTGAGAAAAATCAGTGTAGGGTGAGTAGGCATAGCCCAATAGAGTGATTGTAAACTTTCTACCTAAATAGGATCCAGCTGCTTGAGCCAATTTAAATTTGATTTGGAGAAGTAAGAGTCTTGGAACTGTTACCTTGAGAGTGACTGAGCATTGTGTATCCATTATGTGTCTAAAGACTTATCAAATGTTAATGTAAGTGTCTTCAACTTGTCATGTGTATTTTAAATACCTGAAAAAGGCATGGGATAGTTTCAGTCAGGCTAGGCTAGGCTATGCATCAGTAAAACATAAGCCCAAAATATCAGTGCCTTCTTCCAGAAGGAAAATAAAGAACTCTGGAGTGTCTCACACTAGCAAATTCTTTAGCCCAGAAGTGACAGAGACCACTTCTACTCATAGTTCATGCCAGAAGTAGTCACAGAACCAACCTCAAGGGAGCCAGGAAGTGTATGTGTGTGTCTAGAAGAGAGGAGAGCCAGGTATCAGTGAACAGCACTAATGATTACGCCAGTGATGTAAAGAAACATGGAAATCATGCTGCAAGAGAGATGAGATCTCCAGAAACACGTGGTAGGGTGGTGGATGGCAAAGATAGCAAAGATGTGAAGGATTAGCATGAGCTTTTAGAAAAATTCTTGGCTTGGAGAAAGCCAAAATAAAATGACCAAAAACAGAATGTTGGGTTAGAGTTGTTTTCTGGACAAAAAAATCCTTGACTGTCTCTCTCTTCTAGAGAGAGGCTTGATCCTGAAAGGGATTTTATTTGAGGCTTCAGGTTCTTTCCTGAGAGGATGATATAGGGCATTATGATACAGGCACAGGGATACATCTGTGCACTGATGTTACCATGCCAGAGAAAGACTGGGAGCTACTAGTCCTGGGGGAGTCCTGCCTCTGTCTGAACCTGGAGAGAAGAATGTTCAGTCCAGTGGCTTGAAAGTTGACCCTTGTGTATGTCAGCAGAAGGATAAAAGCAGCTCTGGGAAAAGCCAATTGATTCACTGACACTAGGAGTTGTCTGGTTTTTTTGTTTTGTCTTTTTTGTTGTAGTTTACTTCCTTCAAGACATTGAATGCCCCTATATGACTTGCGATTTTGTCCATTGCTTGCACATATCAGTGTGTGTATCCTAGACTGATAACTCTTCATAGTCAGTCAGTAACTTATATTGTAAAGAATTTCATTTCCTTTCTCTGGTGAACCCAAGCATTACCATGTGTGACTAATTTTGGCCAGTGAAATTTGAGCAAAACCAATGTATTTCAGTCACAACTGAAGCTTTTGTGCTCTCTGTCCCTTTGCCAAGGTGACCAACAATATTCCAGATAAAGACTGTATCATTAGCTGTAGCTGAGACAATCAGCAGACACGTACTGTGAGGGAGAAATAAACCTTTGTTGTTAGTCACTGAGATTTGTGGGATCATTTGTTACTGCAGCATAACCTAGCCTGTACCAACTGATACTATGTGTATTCTTTCAGCATCTGTGCAGATGAAGCCATTGAGATCAGTGATGGATTCAGAATGAGAAATACCTGTTCCAAAATACTATGTTAGAGGAACTGACAGCTAGGATTTCTTGGTTGAAGCATAGAAGGGAGGAGGGTATTTTAGATTCTCAGCCTTCTTTTGATGTGAGTGGGCCAGAATTGGGAGAATTCTGTTCCAATGTCATGGAAGGGGAGTAAAATCAAAGACTAATTGAAAGACTGGAGAAATATTTCTAAAACCTATGACAGAAAAAGAGTTAAGGCAAATAATCCAAAGAAAAAATGAGCAAAGGAACTAAACAAGCCCTGCATAAAATAGAAAATGCAAATTGGCAAAAAATATGAAAAGATGCTCAACTTCACTTGTACTGAGTGAAATTCAAATCAGATGGCAGTATGAATTGTTACAACCTCCCTGGAAAGTAATCTGACAGCATCTATGAAAATTTAAAATGTTCTTACCCATAGATCCTCGTAAGAGTCTATTGTCTTCTCCCCTCAAAAAATCCAAACATACAAGACACACACACGCACAGAGACGTTTACTGCAGCACTGTTTGCAATAGGAAACTGGAAACAGCTGTTCATCCATGGAGGAATGGTTAACTGAATTATGAAACACCCATACTATGGAATATTATTTGGCTGTTAAAAAGAATGGCATCTGTAGATATTAACCTGTAAAGATGTAACTGGTACATTATTAAGAGAAAAAAAGCTAGTTGGAGAGCACTGGAAGAGCATGCTGTCACATTTGTAAAAAATAAAAAGGGGG